TAGCAAGTGGTGACAGGGTAGGAAGGGCAGTACCTAGTGATCCGGTGGATTAAGAGTAGGTGACATGATTAAGAGAAGTAGATAGGGGTCAGATTATGTGCATATTAAGTGTTTTGGACTTCATCTTAAGAATAACAGTGAGCTATTGAAGAAATTTAAAAAGGGAAGTGATGTGATCAGAATTATGTTTCAGAAAGATCAGATAAATTAATGTAGGGCAAGAATGGGTACAATGAGGTAATTATAGAAATCCTGGCTAGGAATGATGATGGCCTGAACTTTAAATGTTTTTTCTTCTGGTACACCATTTTACTTTTGGTTGTTTTTTCTCTTACTACCCTGACTGTTACTTTTCAGTCTCCCCTTCAGTGACTTCTGACTCCCCTACTTCTGAATGATGGTGTTCTTCAGGGCTTAGTCCTCAGATCGATTCTCTTCTCTATCAACACTCATTATCTAGTGATCTCATCCAACCTAACGGCTTTAAATATCATCTGGACACTGACAAGTTCCAAATTTATGCCATTAGCCAAGATCCACCCGTGACCTCCAGTCTCATATATATTCACTGCCTTCTCAGTCTCTCCATTTAAGTGTTTAACAGCTATCTCAAACTTAGCATTTACAACACTGAACTTCTGATTCTTCCTCCAGATTTGCTATACCAGGTCTTCCCCATATCAGTAATGGCTACTCCATCCTTCCAGTTTCAGAGCCAAAATTTTGGAAACATCTATAACACCTTTCTTTCTCTCACACTCTATATCCAATCGATCAGCACACTTGCCTTTTGACGCTGCCTTCAAAAGACATCCAGAATATGGCCCATTTTTACAATTTCCATTGCTAACTATCTGGCCCAAGCCATGATCCTCTAGAGTCTATATTATTTTAATGACCTGCTAATAGGTCTCCTTGCTTCTGCTCTTGGTCCCTATAAGTTTATACTTGATCCAGTAAATAGAGTTTATCCTTGAAAATACTAGGTCATGTCACTCTGTATAAAAGTCCTCAGTCGCTTCCCATCTTACTCAGAGTAGAGGTCAAAATCCTTACAATGGTCTGTAACACACTCCATAGTTTAACTGTCCCCACCCCCACTACTTCTCTGACCTTATTTCTTAGCATTCTTCTCTTTGCCACTCTGTTCCAGCCATCTTGACCTCCTTGCTGTTCCTGAAATACTCCAACCCCATAGCCTTTACTGTTCCATTTTTCTGGCATTCTCTTCCCTCAGATATCTTGAATATTTCTTTGATTTTTTTTTTCAGGTCTCTTCTCAAATGTAATTTTACTACAGAGACGTTCTCTGAACACTTTATACAAAAAAGCAATACTCCCTGCAACCCTGCCTAAGCTCCCCTTACCTTGCTTGCTTTCTTTCCTTTGCACTGATCACCAACTCCATAGCACTTAGCACTATATATTTGCTGGTTGGTTTGTTTATTTCCTTATCCCCCCACTAGAACTGTGAGCCTCGTGGAGGCAGGAACTGTATTTGTTTTGCTCACTGCTGATCCTCCACTCGATAAATCATCTCTGAGCACATTGTAAACACTCAATAAATAGCTGTTGAATGAATGGAGGCATGCGTTTTGGAAGAGTGGAAATGGAGAGAGGGTGATGAACTTCAGATCTATTTAGGTGTCAGAATAGTTGGATTGATTTGGAATTGACTCAATGGCAATAGGTTTGTGTGTGTGTGTGTGTGTGTGTGTGTTTGGGCGGGAGGGAGGGGGCACTGGGGTGCAGAAGAAGGAGTCAGGAATGTTGCCCAGGTATCTGACCTAGACAACTGAGTTGACGGTACACTAGTCACTGAAGACGGTGGGAGGAGGACAGGTTTGGGCAGGGAGAAGGATACGGTCAGTCTTGACAAAACTGTGATTAAGATTGTTAGAGCTAGTCAAGTGATATCCTGTAGGCAGCTGACTATAGAACTATTCATTGGATTCATGCTTAGGACTCATCTTTACTAGGAACGAAGCAACTATGTGGGAAGGAGATGAAGACAGAGTATATGATGCTGAGTTATTTCCAGGGCGAAGCTAAATCCTTTTCATCCCAAAGGTGAATCTGCTAAACTAGCCACTCTTCAGGAGCTCACAGCCTTACAGAATGCCGCATTCCCCAAGCATCAAAGCAGTCTCATTGTTGGAACACAACCACTTTTCAGTCTGACTCTGGGGGTGCGTGTTTGCCATTCAGAACCTACTATATTTTACTGCACCTTCTAACATTGTTACACAACATTTATTGAAAGCACATTTGATGGTAATGAAGTTTCTATTAACTATGATTAAATCTCATAAAGCACCTGAAGATAATTTAAGATGTGCAGAAGCAGAAAATGAAACATTCGGTTTAGTACATTAGGAAACGTAATTGATTAAATTATCTCATTTACAATAAGTGCTTTCATGAGCTATGCAGCGCACATATTTTTCCCAGTTTGTCATTATGATTTGCCAACAGATATCTTAAGACTTCACTTTCTTCTAACACCTCCTTGCAACTCAAAACTGCCTCCTCTGCTTGCCTGCTCATGGAGGCCTGTGTGCCAGGCTCTGACTGATGCCTTCTCTCCACCAGGCTTTGCCGAGGATCATGCATACAGCTATATATAGGAACAGGTTGTTTCTCAATTATCTTTATAATTGACTTTGATTTTGCATCAGTGATGATTCATGTAGTCTTAAACTAAATCCTCTCTTTCACTGAACAGCCTCAGCCTGAATTTGTATAATGTACTCCTAACCATGCAGCGTACAGAACCCCGATTGGATTCCTCTGGGAGTCTTTTGCAATCACATTGACTCTGTTAAGGTTTTATTTTTAGGAAATCACAAATTAAAACAGTTTAAGCGATTCCGTTGGCAGTATCCAGCAATTAAGCATGGCGCTCAGGAGTGAGAAACCCCAAGCAAAAACTAATTCAGCGGTCCCCGAGGATTAGAAATAGCTACTGTGGGGTTTCTGGCTGGAAGTACAGATGTAACCAAATTAGAACGGCACAGGACTCACAAACTAAGCATGAAATTAATTTTAAAAACACACAGATATTTCTAAGTAACTGTCCCACTGACCACCACAGGGTCTTGCTTGTGCTGCCCACCAGAACCAGCATATGGCACGTACTCCATGACAGAGAGGTTAAGAGTCCACTCACTCGAGCTGTGACCCTGAGGGCCTTGGCACAGGCACAGACCACTCATGCAGTGAGCACCTGCTTCCTCTCGCCCTCAGTATGCGCGCACGCACACATACGACAGCACTCAAATTCCGCCACCCCTAATCTTCCTAGGAGTTCAAAATCAAACATGCATGATGTCAGAGGACGGCTAGCTAAGTACTAACGATCCCTCTGTGCTCAGCAGACAGCATGGAGAAGAAGAAAGTTTGTTTTACTAATTCCTCAGTCTCTGCAAGAAATGGCATCCTTCTGTCGACCACCTGCCTGAAGCGGCATCATGAAGTATGGACAGAACTGGCTTTACGGGACATTTCTTTCGTGTCTCCTGGCACCTCTCTGGAGGTACTCGTTTTGCTGTCTGTCCTCACAGGGTGGCCTTAGTTCTTGCAAAGGAGTTAGCTAATAAAAGCTGTTAACTCTCCCGAGAGATTTGAGTTTGATTACCCTAAGATTTAAAAGATGAAAAGACTTTCCTTTTATACTAGAATAGGAGATCCTGGGCAGGGATATCTTCCACAAGCTTGACAAACCAAACCAGTCAGGCAGCTGTCTGACCCTCCTACTGCTAAGAGCTGTATTGCTGATGCCATTAGGTCTTCAGCTTTCCCTGGTAAGCTTTCCATATTTCTGAGGGCATGAGGATCCCCTGGGAATATATTGGAATGTAGGTGCCCAGAAGCTCCACCTTTCCCAGGGATTCTAACTCTTTTGTTCTGAGATGAGGCTTATTTAATCATATACCCCCCATCCCAAAATTCGGATACCTGTGGTCTATAAACAACCCTTTTAAGAAACATTTTTCTCATACATGGTTCTCAACCTGGGCTGCATATTGGAATCACCTGAGGAGCTTTAAAAATGAGAGAGTTTTGTGTTCCAAACCAGTAAACAGTTGCTGTTGAGTCAATTTGAACTCATGGCAATCCCATGCATGTCAGAGTAGAGCGGTGCTCCATGGGGTTTTCAATCGTTGATTTTTTGGAAGTAGCTCATCAGACCTTTCTTCCAAGGTACCTGTAGGTGGACTTGAACCTACAACTTTTGGTTAACAGCTGTGTGTGTTCACAACTTGTACCACTCCAGAGATCCGCCTATGTTCGAACCCTCCCCTCCACTCCAAATTCTGATTTAGGTGGTCTGAGCTACAGCCTGGGAATTAAAAAAGGCTCCAGGTGATTCTAACATGCAGCCAACATACAGTCACATGCCAAGCTGTCAAGCATTCTGGCAGTGCCCTGTTTTCCAAATCTACTAGATGTATAAAGTGGAGATAATTGAAAGCTTCTCCAGGATGCCAACCTGTGTATAGTGAGCTCAAGCCAGCCTCAACACCCAAAATCTCCGTTTATAATTATTTCACTGTGGAATACGAGTTCCTATTCTACCCAGTTGCCATGGATTCAGTGTGAGGTAAGAATCCCACTTCGTATTCTCAGGCCCCCTCCTCCTCCTTGTCGTCAGGTTTTTGCCAAAGGCTGCTCTCGTGAAAGCATGTACTGACAAATATTTATTAATTTTAATGCTGTAAATCTCAGAAATAAGAATCCTAGGTGACATTTGCAGAGAAATGGACTTACAGGCAGAATCAAGAGGAGAGATTTACTTTTACTCTGAGGGAGGGGGAGGGTGTTCATATTTCTTTTCCATTTAAACCTTCTCCCATGCAACTCCAAACTCACTGAGAAGGAGCCGTGAAAACCCCAGATCGTTCATACAAACTTCAGTTCTGTTCAGCTCCTAAACAAATACAACAACAAGGCAGCAAATATGAGAATAAATTATATCCACAAGAGGAAAAACAACTTACTTTGGGGTTTTATTTCATGAAGAGGTTTTTTATCTAAAAGAAAGAGAGAGAGAAAGAAAGATGCATTTAATAAATTTACATGGAGCAGATATATTTCCTTTATCACTCTATGTCTAGGTTTATAAATGAAACAATTTCTCCATTTTTACAGATGATATGGCTTATGGTATCCGTATTTTTCTTTGCATTCTAAATGTTTTATTTTTCTCTTTTCAAATATTTTTCTAGGTTGATTCCTTCGGGTTTTTTTTTTTTTTTTTTTTTTTAATTTTCCCTCAGGTTTGCTCGAGTTTCTCTTGGTTGCATTTACTAGATTCTTTATCAGCATGAGGAGAGCAGTGAGCTTGCAGCCTGTCCCTCTTTTATATACAGCCAGAAGTCTGCTCAGATGAGGGATGCCATTTCATTATATATGATGATAGAAAAATGAACCAGTGGACGTATATTTAAAGGGATCCTGCAGTGGTTTGCAGTAACCATTTGCCTGGATAAAAAGTCCCAAATTCTGACTGCTTATCATTTTTGGTGAGTTTGGGGCTGGTGTTGTGAGCATGCTTAGAGCTTTGTTTTTCCGAAATAACTCTTTCTAATTTCACATCTCCATTACTTGTTAAAATCTGTATCCTCTCTCTCAGTGGAAAAGGTATCATCTTGTAATCACAGTTTTTTGCAGAGCACAGGTCAGGTGAGGTGGATAAAGAGAAAAGACATTTATTTGGCTTTATACTTAAGCAGGGGCCACGGGAGCCAGAGCTCAGGAGAGATTTGTACCAATTCTCCCTACCACTCCCCACCCACTCTGTCCCCTTATCTCCCATCACCAAACAACGTAACTCTGAAAATCGTTTTGAGACTTGGCACCTATTGCTTTCTTTGGATTTTACACCACAGTCCTTCCAGTTCTCATCCTCCTTTCCATGGCTCCCTCCCAGGCCAACACAACTCCAGCACAATGCAGAAACCTGGGAAGACCACACTTTTGACACCCTGTCAAGATTTCAGATACTTTGCATGGTATTTTATCCTCTTAGTAGTAGTACCTTCTGAAGGTATAGAAGGGGTACTATCAGGCTAAAAGGACTGAGGAGTCCCCAGGTGGTACAAATAGTGAGCAAGCTCACTACTAACCAAAAGGTTGGAGGTTCGAGTCCACCCAGAGGCACCTCAGAAGAAAGCCCTGGTGATCTACTGAAAAATCAGCCATTGAAAACCCTATGGAGTATAATTGTACTCTGACATACGTGGAGTCACCGTGAGTCGCAATTGACTGAATGGCAACAGGTTTGCAAGGACTGAAGCTGTTGCTAATCATTCACAGAATCACACAATGGTAGGGGACCTTGAAAGGTCACCTGATGCCATCACCTTCCTCCGTTTGCCTGAAGGCGAGCCAAGAGGGGCTAGACTCTGTCGTGATGGATTATGTTTGTAACTGAATCAAATCTAGCACAGTGCACATTTGAGAACTTCAGAAGTATTATCTGACTGACTGTACCAGCTCCCCTTGCAGCCAAGCTGACAAAACTGTATTGAAAATCCTCCATGCAATATTCCTTGCCCTAACCCACTCCTATATTTACTACTGATTATAACAGAAAGCTCTTGCAATACACAAATGCAATGAGCTTTAAATATAGTTCTTGAGTATTTTACAACTTGATTTGTTGTGGAAGTAGCTTTTAAAAGTTGTGTGTAAATCATATTCTTGCAAATGGCCGATCTTTTTATTTTTTTAATGTAAGGTGAAGTTGGCTGGTAAAGGGTGACTTTTGGTAAAACTTTCTTTAAAATGAAAAATCTTCATAAAATGTAATAACTTGTTCAAATTGATATAATCATATCCAGATTTTTACACAGTCAGGTTTCTTAAAACAGAGTACATTTGCATTCTCCTTACTGTATAGATTCAACATCGCTGTTTTCCCGAGAACAGGTGGTACCTCCTGAAGGTCCAGATGCTAATGCCCCCAAGAATTAGAATAAAATGACTTTGGTTGTTTTAACCTAACTTCAGTTTTTGCTTATTGCACAGTATCTGAAAGCATTTGGCATGGGCACAGCGATGCTGGCAGGCCAGGGCTAAGACATCTGAAAGTGATGCATGGCTAGAACTACACAAGTAGACATGCAGAACATCTGTTTAGAGCTCCGGCTGAGCTTAACAGTATTTTCTTATTTCTAAACCACAGGCATGAAGATTATGCCAGGTAGCAAAATGAAACTCCATTAAAAACAGGTGAGATCTATAACTCCTCACCAACAAAATAAATCTAATACAGCTGGGCTATAAAAAAGTTGGGGTGGTGGAGTTCTACTGAGTATAGCTCTGAAGGGAGAAACAGCTAATGGGGCTGAGAAGCCCAGGGCTAAAGTCCCGAGACAGAGAGATAGACATCTCAGGCCATGAGGGTACCAGGGCCAGGGAGTGGGATACCTCCTCCTTTGACCTAGCTCTGGTGTCACTGCTATTGGCTGGGTGGCACTGTGGAATCAGTGGAGATTCTCAGAGCCCTGGTGGCGCAGTGGTTAAGAACTCAGCTGCTAACTAAAAGGTCGGCAATTCGAATCCACCAGCTGCTCCTTGGAAACCCTATGGAGCAGTTCTACTCTGCCAACAGGGTCACTATGAGTCAGAATCAACTTGATGGCAACGAGTTTGTTTGTTTTGGTTTTGGGTCTCAGGGATAGACCTAGATTTAAATCTAGAATTGTCCCCCTACTATCCATGTGACCGCTTGTTCTCAACAGTAACATGGGAATAATAATGACCTTGAAGGTGAGTATTGAGGAGTAAGCATAGTAAATGTAAAACTGCCAACACAGGGCTAGCACGTGTTTGGTGTCACTAAATGGTAGCTAATAAATAATAATTTCAACAGTTATGATCGTGATTGTCATTATGCCTCCTTTGGAGTTAAAAAAAAAAGACTACTTGTGCTAATGATTGTCAACAAGTCACACTTCCAAATCACAAACTCTAGCAATTTTTCAGGGATAATTGAATGAAGCTTAAGAAACTTGTTAGATTCTTAACTAGTCCTGGTTCTGTCATATGAGACCAAGAGCAAGTCAAGATTTGTTTCCTGATATGTAAAAAGAAAAGGAGGGACAGAAAGTCCCCTGTGGGCCCTCCAGCTTTAACCCACTGTAAATCTGTGGAATAAGGGTCAAAGACATTTCCCAGAGATCTGTTTGAAATTATTTGCCAGATTATAACAAGGACTGGTGCGCGGCCGTGGGTCCATCATGTCTTGTGTCACTGTGTGTCCTCTTACGGAAAAGGCACCGGGCCTCTGGTGCCCAAAGGACCTTTAGTCCCCTGACATCAGCATTAAAATTAGGTTCTGTTGTATTTTGTGACATGCCAGTGTCTTTACAGTAAGCTGCTACCATAGACATTTTTCTTGCTTGAATTTTCTGGTCTAAGATTGTTCCAGCATGAGTGGGAGGGAGGGCTACTCAGTGGCCTCATTATTTTTTGTATGAGTCCCCTCCCCTTTTTATGTTCTTTGCATAGTCATTTTCTCATAAGGGTTGGGGCCGTGCATCCATTTGGCCTTCATCAACAAAATCCTCTCCACTTTAATTTTACCTCTTTTCAAAGGCCATATTCAAATGACCCTTCAGTAAATTAATCCATTCGGGTTGTGATTCTCCATGTTGGCTGCACATTAGAATCCCCTGGGGAGATTTTGAAAAGATACCCATGCCTGGGCCCCTTGCCAAGAGTTCTTGATTAATTGGGGTTTGTAGTTTTGTTGTTTTGTTTTTGTTTTTGATTACTGAGGGCACCACCACTTTCTGGCAACATCACTGGTTCCGTCTGGTCAAGATTAGTCTCCCTGAGAGGCCTTGGGGTAGCTATGCTATGCAGATGGGCCCAGAAGGGTCCCTGTTATACCCAGCCAATAGAGAAATATTGCAAGTTTGAGCTAGTGTCAGCTAAGCTGTAGTTTGGGAAAATCACACCGACCCCAGAGTTTAACTTGTACGCTGAGAGGTATCTTCTGGGTAAATAGAAATTGAAGCTAAGTAATCACAGTTTGTAAGTAAATTATAACCTGTGCTGGCTTTGGCAGCACATATACTAAAATTGGAATGATACAGAGAAGATTAGCAAGGCCCCTGGGCAAGGATGACATGCAAATTTGTGCAGCGTTGCATATTTTTTCAGCCCTGGTGGTGCAACTGTCAAGCACTCGGCTGATACCTGAAAGGTTGGCAATTCAAACCCACCCAGCAGTTCCTCGGGAGAAACATGTGGCAGTCTGCTTCTGGAAAGATTTATAGCCTTGGAAACCCTATGGGGTAGTTCTACTCTGTCCTATAGCGTCTATGAGTCAGAATTGACTCAACGGCAGTGGGTTTGGTTTTGGGTTTGGTTTATATAATTATAAACACGTACACATGCTGAAAAGGAGCCCTGGTGACGCAGTGGTTAAGCACTTGGCTTCTTTTCAGGAGAAAGATGTGGCAGTTCACTTCCATAAAGATTAAAAAAAACCCATTGCCACCAAGTCTATTCCAACTCACAGTGACCCTATAAGGTTTCCAAGACTGTAATCTTTACAGAGGCAGACTGCCACATCTCTCTCCAATGGAGCAGCTGGTGGGTTCAAACCATCAACCTTTGCGTGGCAGCTAAGTGCTTTAATCATTGCACCACAAGGGTTCCTTCCATGAAGATTAACTAATTAACCCATTGCTGTCGAGTCCATTCTAACTCATAGTGACCCTATCAAACAGAGTAGAATTGCCCCATAGGGTTTCCAAAGAGCAGCTGGTAGAGTCAAACTGCCAACCTCTTGGTTAGCAGACGAGCGCTTAACCACAATGCCACCAGGGCTCTTTCATAGAGATTACAGCCTTGGAAATCCTATAGGGTAGTTCCACCCTGTCCTATAGGGTTGCTATGAGTCAGAATTGACTCAATGGCAATGGGTTATGCTTACACATATACATGTGAAATTGCCAGTAATTGATGGTTTTTACCTACAAAAACATGGAATTGTCTTTTATACATTGCTCTGCGA